ACCTCGATTGTCACGATTCGGTCACTTTGTCCTTCCAAGGGGCGACATACATGTATAAGTAAATTGTAAAGTTTATTTAATTTTAGTTTTTCAAATCAAATTTAACCTTTAATTAATTTGAATTGGATCTGACCAAAGGTACATAGTGGTTATGGTACCGGTTCTGTAACCGAAGGGTTTCGAATTCACTATAATAATTTTATTAATATATAATTTATATTAATATACACTGAAAATTAAATAAAAGTAATTGCCTATATATCTACAATATTCGATTTCAATAAAAAAATAAACAATCAACATCAATAACCTTTAACATTTAATATTAAAAGAAACTGCGAAAGGCTGTTCACCGCCTAGCTAGATAACTCAATAACCTATAAAACTAATGCTTGACGCTAAAGCCAAATGGGAAGATTCTAATGCTTCCAAATGGAGTAAAGAAGAAAAAAAAATTTTAATTGGAAATTTAATGTTAGGGTACTTAAAAAATTTAATTTAATTTATAAGAACTATCGGGAATTCATGAATGTCATAAATACATATAGATTAAACTTTACCCATTGAATAAAATTTAATTGCTAAGTAAAACAATAATATTATACGAATTAATTAAAGTTAAGCTTTCCAATAATAAAATATGTGATAATTTTTTATATGTATGCATATATGTATATCATTATGGCAGTAGTTTTACTACTAACTCAAATGTTTGTTGCAATGAGTGCCTATGAGGTTTAAGATTATCTTGAATAATAAACGGAAGAGTGAGTAGTATTAAGTTTGTGGTCAAGAAGGAAACTTTGTAATTAGACAGTTTTTATATTTAACTACACATAAAATTTTTTAAAAATTGTTTATTTTTCTTTTTTAGAATACTGTTTTTATTTCACTTTTTAAGAAAAGGAAGAATATATAGAGTTAACGAAACCGCTATTTTAAAATTAATTTTGCAATTCAAAAACATCAGTACAGATACAAAGGAAATGTCAATTTTTCAACTGAAATTTTTCTTTGCTAAAACTATACAATACAAGTTTTCAGGTGCATTTCGAATATACGAGTATATATATATGATATTTTGCAAAATATTCATGCATTGCGAAATTCAATTAGTATAAAAGATACATTCGATTTTAAATTTACAATTCCAAAAAGGTTATCACTTAAAGGAAACTTTCTTAAAGCGTTAATGAAAAACAAGAACTATGTATACATAATATACTTACATTAAGAAATAACAATAGAAAATCAAAGTTAAACCACTTTCATTTAAATTCAATAATTATATACATATCCATATATGTATGCATGTATATGTGTAAAGGTACATTGTCAAATAAACCAGTTTAAATGTTAAAGAAAAAAATTATAAAAGTTCTTTAGTAATATTATATCTTGTTAAAAACAAGTTTAAATTTCTTGTGGTAAATAACTTGATAATAAATATGTAAGTGCGTAATATGTAGGAATCAAAATATACATTGCAACCTTTATTATTTTTAAATCAAGGTTAATAATTCAATTAATTTTATTTTAAATTTAAATTTTTTGAATTTTACCAAAATTGGATTTTAATATAAGTATTAATTCATAAAACAAAAATAAACAATTTTATTTCATAAAGATTGGTCCTTTAAATGAATTATAACTCTGTAAGGGGAATTCATTAATTGGGATAAATCAATGGTGTTGTTAAATGATGTTGTTGGTGAAAGCAATTGTTTGTCAAATAGCACATTTTAATTTTACATAATATAATTTTAAATTTGAGTAGAACGAATTAGAGAATTCTAATGAATAAATTTTATTATCATAAAATTTGGCTTATGTTTAGGAGTTATATTTTTCGAAAAAGATAGCTAACATAAAAATTAAAAGGTGCAAGAACGGTCATGTCAAAATGTTTTTTAACAGAAAAACAATTACTTGTTGCATTCTTGCTATTTCATTCTTGCAATATCAAAGAATTATGTATCTAGAAATCATACAAGAATGTAACAGAATTTATTTATGTAAAAAACATTCATTCTATTTAAATAAATTCTTTATCGATATCAGCTTGATTTCAATTTTTGTAAAGGAACAAAATTTTTCCGTGAAGGAGATAACGATAAATTTGAAGAGTCAATTCGGCACCATGACATATATGTAGTTATAATTTTCCTGTATTAACGTACAGTATTATTAAAATTCCGATCTCAGGGAGAGTCTTCTGGCGATATTCTACGATATACAATATTTAATTCGTGATGTAGTAAGCAAAACTTGATCAGTGTACTTATTTGCTCTAAAGTCATTCGTTTTGTATGAGAAGATTTAAAAAAATAATGACAAGATAAAAAAAATATTGACCAAAAGTTCTGATACAAAATTCAAGTCTAAATTCCAAATTTTTATAACCATGCCATTAATACATTTATATTTGCGGGAATTTGCAAAAAAAAAAACGGTTAGTAAAATATGATAATTACAATTTGACAATACCGTAAGTAATCAGTCAGTATGTATATGATAATTTTTCGATTATCATAAAGGTTATAATATAAAAGTAATCAAGTGATGTTTACACATACGGTCATAAAAGAATCTTATTCCGGATAGAAAGATATTTTTAAATTTAAATAGAAAAGTGTATATATTTACAGCTTTTAATTAAAATTGAATTTTTAAATGTTGTACAATTTTTTACTTCCTGTTTTTTTTTCTTAATTTTATAAATACATAAATAATTATATAAGTTAACGGTCAATATTAATGTTCAGTATAAATACTCTTTATATGCTAGAAATTTGTTTTTTTTTTCATCTTTAAAACCGGCTTTTAGAATTTTGAAAATAACCTTCATAAATTAATTCTACTAATTTTTTAGTACCAAAGTGTTAACTTTGCAGTTAAACAATATTTTTGTTTTTTTTCATAAAATTTTGCATTATCATTAAGTAGGTATGTATATTATATAAACAAAATAACAATATCGAATATTTGGAATCTTTTCAACATAATCTTATTTAAAGTTAGAAATTTTTCCCGCTCATTTAGAAAAAAAGAAAAAAATTTTTAAATATTATTCGTTGTCTGCAGAAAAAAACAAAAAAAAGCGGAACATAAAACATAAAATTTATTATGACTCACTAGAAACTGAATAAATTATACCGACTGTATACAAAATATAACACGTACATATGTACATATACTCACATATATGTACATACGCCGTATCGGCTATACACGCAAAGAGATCTTTCAAAATCATAATAAAACGCGATTATGAGTACGATTTTATTGATGATGCTTGTATCTTTCATTTTTTTTTTTTTTTTGTGAAACAAAACCAATAAATATTTAAAAAAACACAGATGAATGTATGTATTATGTATGTATTACAATAATAAAGAATATCGTTGAATATAATTATGTGTCTTCATAAAATATTCATTAGATTGAGGTATGCAGAAACTTTTTTGTCATATTTTAAAATTCACTAAATAAAAAATCACAAATGGGCAAGAATAAATTAGTTATTTAAATAAAAAAGATATAAAAAGATACAATTAATATTTACATAATGCAAAAAAACAAATTTTTTTAAATGCATTAATTAAAAAAAAGAAACAGTTAACTGCAAACTTTGGTACTAAAAAACTAGTAGAATTAATTTATGAAGGTCATTTTTAAAATTCTAAAAGCTGGTTTTTTAAACCAAAGATCAAAAAAATGTTGAATTACCTGCATTATGACATGCAGTTTTTTTTCATTTAATTAATTTTTATTTTATATTGCAACCTATTATTTAAATTATTTAATGTGTTAGTAAGTTAGGATAAACTCGAGAAGCAGTAAAATTAAATTGCTTCAAAATACAACTCATTTAATTTATCTCATAATTTTGAATATATGAAAGAGAGGAGAAACGTGCAATTACAGATTTTACGCGACGCGACGACTTTTGTATCCTGAAAGCAGTTAATGAGTTATTTGTGGTTGCGTTGAAATTCAAATAGATATTTTAGCTAAAATTAATCCAAATAATTGAAAATAGTAGAAATGCAATAATACACGTATGTATGTAAATTTTAAAATATGTTAAAAATTGTAAGTTTATTGTGAATTTGAAAGTAATTCCAATTAGATTTTTTTACTTAAGATACTAGGTATTTTTAAGATATTTTTAATTAAAAATTGCCAGCATGGATTATTTGATAAATTAAAAGTTGGTCACACTGTTTACTATTAACAAAGAAATATAGTATTTTTTTTCTTACTTTTTTTGTTAAAAAAAACATAATTATTCAAGAACGTACATACATACGTATACGAGCTGATATAGAAGTTGTTGTTTTTTGCTGTAAAATGTTGGAACAATAATTTAAATACATAATGTCGGTGTTCAATTTTTATATTCTCTCACCACAGACATTTTTTTGAAATTTAAAATATAGCCTGACTATATTACTATTTTTCAGTCATCTGTTTTAGTCACTCTCAAATCAGAACTTTCATCTTCTCAATTGGATACAAAAATTGCAATTAAAATTATCCAAAATTTCTGGCATTTTGTTTGAAGTTTAAATTTCCCACATTATATTATATTTGTGCAACAGCTGATATAATTTGAGTTCATTCAACATTAGATTACAGAAAAAAATGTTTTGTTATAACTTTTCTACTCTTATTAGAATAGAAAGGAAATTGTAAACGGAAAAACACAGACTGTTTACACTTTGGGCAGTGTGAATTGTACACTTGATATGTCTAAATATTTGAATATATTTCGCATTTTAAATTGAATGTATACGACTTATTAATTACTCGCTTAGAGAGTAATCAATCAGGGTATGTAGGGGATTTCTGTTGAAAAATTTAGTTCAAATACAAAGAAAAAGTGCGCTTATTAAAAAAGAAAATGTCTTATTACTATTCTGCTAGTCTTGAATGTCGCATTGCAGATCCTAAGAAAATTTAACATTTTTGCAGTTTTTTTTATAATCATCTACATTATAAAAAAGTTAATAAATTGAAATAAAATCGAGCAATCTCAATTTACAAGGAAACGTTTTCTTGCTATTTTTAACTATAAGGGAAAATAACAAGAAAACGTAACGTAAACGTTCGTATGTACATTTAGTTAAAGTTGGGTTTTCTTTACTTTGTACATCCAGGCATATATTTAATTATTTTCATAAAAATTTCCTGCAACGGCAGCCCTTTTAACATAAGTGTATATTTACACATGAAAATTTGGAGTTGAACTTTTCAATTTAACACGAAAATTTTTTCGATAATTTTGTAAACAAAGAATAGGAATACAAAAATTTTTTTAAATACCTAATTAAAATTTTTAATTGGCATTATTCTATCATAATGTTTAACGATAAGGAACCATTATGTGAGGAACTATTTTTATTGAATACTAACAATGTATAATTCCGACAACTTAACAAAATCAATTTTATATTACTTGATTACTTTGTTAAATCTTTGCATTCATTTATTTCATTCACGTTGCAGATAATCATCTGTTAAATAGATCTGGAACAATGGAAGAGGTAATTTTTTTTTGAGTTACAAACTGGATTAATCAAAGTTTATTTTAGGTAGTTGCTAGGACGAGATCGGCTTTTCTTAGCGGAAAAACTAAAAATGTTGCATTTAGGTAAGTTTTTTTTAGTTGCGTTTTGAAAATAAATAGAGGTTTCCATATTTAATATGATTTTTTAGACGACGTCAGTTGGAGCAATTGTATAAATTATTTGAAGAGCATGAAAATGAAATTGTTGGTGCCTTAAATTCAGATTTAAGAAGACATAAACAAGAAAGCACTCTTGTTGAAATAGAAATAATGAGAAATGATATTTTGAATATTTTATACAATTTAGACGAGTGGGTCAAACCAGAGAAGGTAATTTTAATTTATATATGGTTTAACAAAATCAAAGTCAACATACATATATAAAATTTTTAGCCTGAGAAAACCGTAGTAAACCTCCTAGATGATGTCTTAATATATAAAGAACCTTATGGCGTAGTATTAGTTATGGGAGCTTGGAATTACCCTCTTCAGTTGCTGCTGGTAAATTATTAAAATTAACTCTATTAATATTAATTCTGTATATTTTATTAATCGCATGATCAGGTGCCGGTAGCTGCTGCGATATCCGCAGGAAATTGTGTGATAATAAAACCAAGTGAAGTATCAGTAAATTGCGCAAAATTTATACAGGAATATTTGCCAAAATATTTAGACTCTGTAAGTTATAATAATTAATATGACTTATAATTTTTTCAATTTAAAAAAACAAGTAATAATTTCATACACACAACTACATGTATGTAAATATCTCATTGAAATAAAATTTTTAGGAATGTTATCCAGTGGTATGTGGTGGAGTAAATGAAACAACAGAATTATTGAAACAAAAATTTGACTATGTGTTTTTTACTGGATCAACAAAAGTTGGTAAAATCGTTTATGAAGCTGCTACTAAACATCTTACCCCAGTAACTCTGGAGTTGGGTGGAAAAAGGTTATTTAACATTTCTATGATCACATATTAATATTTTCTTATACAATTTACATATGTCAACCATAATCAATATTCGCTGCTTAACTGAGTACCCAATCAAAAAATTTACCATTCGAAAGACGTTTTTGTCTTTTATATTATTTAGGATTCAGGAATCCTTTTTTGCCTCTCAAGTTTTGACGCTCCGAAAAATTTTTTTCGAATTATATTTGTATTAATATTTTTAAAGGCATTTATCTTTTTCTTGTTTACCTTCACGTGAAATTTCAGATCCTAAAAACCATGACCTCACTTTGGTTATCAAAACTTATAAAATTACATAGTTACGAGTATTATGTACGTAGAAAATCATTAAATATTGTTTCAATTTTTGGACTATCTAATTATAGTTAACGTTTTTTTATACAGATAACAAATTTTTGTAATGTGACCTTTAATTTATAATACTTTACTTAATTGTAAAAAGAAAAGATACGTATGTCAGGAGTAATATGCTTATATTTTTTAAATTATTTAGCCCTTGTTACATAGATAGCTCAGCTGATATGGAAATCACAGCTAAAAGGGTTTTATGGGGAAAGCTAATCAACGTCGGTCAAACTTGTATAGCTCCTGATTATATACTTTGTTCAAAAAGTGTGGAAAAAAAATTTATAGACGAATGTACCAAAATTTTAAGGGAGTGGTATGGGGAAAATCCAAAAGATAGTGAAGATTTGTGCAGAATAGTCAATAACAACAATTTTCAGTATGTATTTTTATGAATTTATATAAAATTTAATGTTTAATTTAATAGTTTTGAAAATAATTAAATTTGTTTTTTTAAGGCGAATTCTTGGCTTGATGAAATCTGGAAATATAGCTGTTGGTGGAAAATATGATGCAACGTCAAGATTTATTGAACCAACAATCTTAGTAGATGTGAAAGCTGATGATCCTATCATGCAAGAAGAAATTTTTGGTCCAGTTTTACCAATTTTAAATGTCGATAATGTTTATGACGCAATTAATTTTATAAATTCCAGGTATAATATTAAAAGCATTTTGACTAATATTTGAAATGATACATTTTTTTCGTTCATTTTATCGAATCATTCACATTTTATCATTTGTTTTGTTGAGTTAATTTTAAAAAAAAAATGAAAATGAATGCTTTGAATGTTTTTGTGAACAATAAATATAATATTTTGTTGTGTATGGTCAGAGAGCCACCTCTCGTTATATATTTGTTTTCAACTGAAACAGAAGTACAAAATTTATTCGTTCAGCGAACAAAGTCTGGATCAATATGCATAAACGACACTATTATGCAATATGTTGGTAAGAAAATATTAGTAGAAAAAGTCTAGTTTTATAGATCATTCTTGGTAAAATAGGTTTTCTAAAATGGTTCTAAAGGTAATTCTATGCAGTTCGGTTCTATCAATATTACTGTAGTTTGCTTTGATTTTCATATTTTACTTTTTCTTTAAAATTATTTTTACTTTACATCCATGCCATTCATATGTACATACTTTCATTAAATATAGTTTTATATGTTGAAAATTAATTTATATATTTTCATTTTTTTAAGTTCTTTGTACATAAATCATAAAGAAATGGTAAAAGTTTATTATTTAGCAATTAAATTTTAAAATTTTCTATATTTTATAAAAAAAAAAAACTCTATTGCTACAACAGGGAACATCCTCTAGCATTGTATGCTTTTAGTAATAACAAAGACAATGTAAAATTATTAATTAAAAATACTTCAAGTGGTGGAATCTGCATAAACGACACAGTTATGCATTGTGGAGGTACAATATTTTAAATCTGTACATATATTTTAAAAGACCTGATAATCGTGTAATTAAAAATTAATCTTTTCTTTCTGACTACCTAGAATAATTTTCATTTTTATTCAGGCATCTTTTGATATAGTAAATTTTGCCTTGCCTTGAGAATTCTTTATAATCAAAAAAATATTATAAGAACTCTTTTCAAAATAATAAGAAAGGAAAGAATAATTTTTGCTTACTTTAAATTATTTTTGCATTTAATATTGCATGGAAAACGCAAAATTAAAATACTCAAGCTGTTGTATTTTTCACGTTGAAGAAATATTTAATTATTAAGTTTAAAATTAAATGGATCGATTTTAATCATTATTTTATATTTCTATTCTATTCTAATTCTATTCAAAACTATACTTTCAGACTTCTTAATTCTATCTTTAATTTTACTAATTTTTTAAACTAAATACTGATTTAAAATTAAGAGAATAACGATAACAAGTACATTTTAAGAGAATTTTTACATTATTTGTCCCCGCTTTCATAGAATAGAAGTACTAAAAATAAAATAATAAACTTTAATTAATTAAACTACGGGCAAATATTCACTAACACTTGTTTTTTTTTTGTATTTTCTACATTTTAATTTAAATTAATTTAATTTTCTTTAAGTTATATTTTTTTTGAGGAAAATAGGCTAGTCAAAATATCTTGCTTAAATAAATTGCCAATCTTTTAAAATAAAATACCAATAAGAATCCAAAATAATTATGAACTTCAATTTAATCTCATATTTGTTTATCATTTTTGTTATAAAGAACGAGGGGGGTTTAGTTCTTTATTTTTTTTATTAAAAACTTCAAAATATGCTATTTAAAATATCTTTTTTAATATTATATTAAATAACACTTCTTCAAATTGAAAAAGGTTTGAAATATTTATTACTCATATAACAAAAATTTAAATATTATTACATTATATTTAAAACAATTTGAAAATGGCTATTATGAACCTGAAATCATATTTATTATTTAAATTGGCGTTTAAAGTTTAACATACACTTAAGTTCAAAAATTCAATAATATAACATAGTTAAATCCGTATGAACTTTCACCCTACACATGAATTTTTGAATTTCAGGGTTGAATTTAATTTTCCCATTTCTTTTTATATATTTAACCCAATTCAAGGTATCTTAATGTAAAAGGAAATACGTATGTATTTCAATTGAAAAATATGTAAAAACATTATTAATTATAATATTTGTAATGAATTTTTGGGTTTGAGAACATTTGAAATTTTAGGAATTCTTGCAATTTGTAATATTCATTTGTATTATCCTAGATAAAGAAATATAAATGTATGTATATACATAGAAATATATGTATATATTTATAGAAATTTTTAGAAATTTATAATTTTTTTCCAATACTTTAAAAATAACATTAAATAAACTTTTGTAATTATCTTTAGATATTATTATAAATATGATTTTGATATGATCATTTTAGTATTATTAATGTTTTGGCATATCTAAACTCGGAAAATTAGATTTATATAAAATAATATTTATATTTTGGCATATATAGTTGATTCATTGCCATTTGGAGGAGTTGGAAATAGTGGAATTGGACATTATCATGGAAAATATGGGTTTGATACATTTACCCATAAAAGATCATGTTTGGGAAAATCTTTTAATAAATTAGGAGAATTTTTAGCATCGTAAGTTTATATTCAAAATTAATTAATAGAACAATTAAATATATAAAGCCTTTCCATTTTTGTTTTTTAATATAATAAAGAGCTAGATATCCACCATATTCAGATAAGAAAACATGGTTTTTATCAACGCTAATGAAAAAAAGGAAACCTTTCCCTAATTTCTATTTTTCACATCTTTGTGCAGTTGGAATTGGAATTGGAATTGCATTTTTAATAAATTATTATATGAAGGTATCATTTTTGTAGAAAACAATTATTTTTTGTTTTTTTTTTGAAAGATGCGTATTTATATTTAATAATAAATTTAATTTTAGCAAGATGGAAATTAAATAAGGACTACAAAATATGAAAAATCAAATTACCAATTTTATAGTAATTATATTTTTTTATTAGTCAATTAACGAACTACATTTGAAAGGTGTATTTATAATTATAAATTAAATAATTGTTATAATACTAGTTATTCTTTAAGTCATGTTAAAAATAACCATAATTACCATATTTTGTAATTTTTTTCACACAATATTGCTTGTTTATAAAATTTCAAAAATAATAAAGGCAAAATAATTGAATGTATTTACATTTTATTTTATTTTAATACAGAATTTTTTTCTTTGTACTTTAGTGCAATTTTATATATTAAAATTAAACCCAAAAAAAAAAACTACTAATCGAACAATGGTCTAGTCAATAATTTAAAATTTATTAATTTATTTAAGAATTCACAAATAAAAAATTTTTATATCACTTGAGAGTCATCGCTATAATAGAATGTTTCCGAATTCAAGAGAATAAATCAAAAACAATATATGTACATCTTAAATAAGTTATTGCAAAAATCTAGGATAACATTTTTTTTTTCACCTGAAAGTGAATTGATACTCGTACTTTTGTACAATGTTCATTTTAAATTTTTCACTTTCTTCATTTAATAAATTTTAAATTAAATTAAAATTGTTTTCTTTAATATGGCCAATTTCTTTAAACACCATTACCATGTGATTCAGTTTTAAATGTTTGTTCATCATTTTCATTTAGTATTTCTCCGTAATTAGTGTGATAATTGTTAGCGAAATTCTTAACTCTAACGTTACTAATTTTACTAGGTATTGTTGAACCATTTTGATAATATGATTTTGCTAAAAACATGTTATGAATTTGTGTTAACTTATCTCTTGGCATATAGTCAATTGTTTCAAAAATTCGACCATCTACTGTTTGTGGTTGATTTTCTGGTGAAAGTTCATAAATATGTCTAGGATAATCAATTGATGATGTTTCGTCAGAAGCATTTGCCAAAGCAGCTACGTGATTTGTACGTATATGATATGGAAAACTTTGATTGGCTCTTGATGGCCAAGTTAACCATAAAAATGTTGAATGTCCAACTGTTGTTAGAAAAGCTGTAAATCCATAAACAATACTTTCACGTACCCATGGATCAAATAAATATATGCCAGTTAATGTTACAAATGGAACTCCTAATATCCATAAGGAGCCTAACATTGAAAATGGTAAAAAAAATCCAATTTTTTCTGGATATTTTCTTACTGTACGAATAGTAGATTGTAAAAATGCACACCATGCAATGCAACGTAAAAGTGCTAATCCAAGGCCAGCTGGTGATTCATACAAATTTAGAACTTCTCCTGGATCAAAAACTTCTTCACGATATATGAATAAAGATATATAGGTGACACAATAAACATTTATGAATACTGTAAATTTTATCGTTGAACATATTGATATGCGTGCTCTTGTTACTGTATAACCTTTGGCTAACAGAAGCAACAAAATCAAATAAACAATATCAGATGCACCTTGGAACATTGTTCCAATAGTTGTAAATGGTCCTACACCATATATTGCATATTTTGCCCATGCTACACCTAATATCATTATTCCAAAATATTGCAACATAGCGCTAATTCCAAATAATCTGTAGGTACAATGTAACAAATGTTTGGTTTTTAATTCTATTGAACATACAAAAATTGCCATCAACAGGAACGTGTAAGTTAAACTTTGAGTCAAAAGGATTGGTGAAATATCTGCAAAAAATTTAATAAGTTTTAAAATATTTTAACAAATTGCTCAAATTAACTGAGCCTATGGAATGAATTTTCTTACACATTTCATCAGCAGAAAAATGTTCGTGCCAAAAATCACCTTGTGGACCATTTGTCATTCGAAATTTATATTTTATATCTATTCCATATTTACTTCCACAGTTTGATATAGCAATATACCACCAACGATTCCTCGCCGATAGAAACCCACCTGAGCTGTTGCATGTTACAGTAAAATCAATCTTAGTAATTTCGTCGATAGGTGCCCATGTAAGAAACTCCTTTTCAAGCAAAAATTTATTTTTTTTTAAATTGTCAGATAGGCATGTATGTATTTGTAAACTAAGTTATTCTTACCTTTTTTTTAGTCGTTTCAACATCATTACTTTCAGTTGTAAATTCTTCAATAAAACTATTCAAAGTACTAAAATTATTATAATCATATGTGTCGTTTAAAATATTATAAGAAATATTAAGCTGAACTAGACTTTCAGGAAATATCTTAGATGAGTTTAAACTGATTATGTTATCTATTTCACTATTTTTGGTTACCGGCTGCATTTGTGGTTTCTGAGTAGTTCTAAAATGAAAAATATTTTCAAATCGAAAATATCTACTTACATACATACATATATAAAAACAGAAACCTTACTTTTCAGCAAAATATTCTTTGGATCTTAAAATACAACCGGATTGAAAACTATATGGTGCTCTAGCTGATAGTGTAATTATTTGATTACTTGTTATACTTAATGCCGACAATTTTTGAGAACAGGTCTAAAAATTGAATGAAAGAATATACACATACATAAGTACATAAATACAGTACATAAACCAAAATATTTGAATTTCATTTTTTATTCTTATAAAATATTAGGATTAATGATAATAGCACTTTACGAACTTTTCCAGTTTTATAAACTCCGGGCCATTGATTTGGTTCATCATAATAAAGTAATAGCTTTGGTTCGCCAATTTTTCTGTCGAATTCCATTTGATATTCGAATTGCCCTTGTTTAGATATAAAACAAAATCTTGTCAAAAATATCCAATCCTAAAATTTTGTTTTTATTTTTATTTTAATTTTATTAAAAAACTAAAATATTCACCTTATGAGTTTTAATTCTTCCTTCTATATATTTTCCGGATATTAAAAAAATTTGTAATTTTATTATAAATAAAATTAAAGTTATCATTACTACAAAAGAACCCATTTATTTCTATCTTCTTCTTTTTTCTGTTTATTTTTTCAAATTCTAATATTTCTCAAGTAAGTAAGCAAAATTTATTCACAATTCTGTTAATTGACTCTTTTGCGAATAATGTAACGTTGTTATAGCAAAATAATACCCAAACATAATTTCTTATAAATAAAATTAATGCGCATAGCTTTTGAAAACTTTATTTTCTACACATCTCCATTGACTACCTTTAACAAGTAAAATGTAAACTGGTGCTCATTCTTGAAATGAGTACTATAGCAAACTATTCAAGTCCGAGATAAAATGTGCATTGGTTTTTGTATCATTAGTTTTAATAAAATCTAAATTTTGGAAATTTTTCGAAAAAAGTTCAAGAATTTTCTTTTGGAGTAATTTTTGAAATTCATAGCGGTTAGGTTGAGAATTTTGTATACTATTTAAACATATCTTTTACAGTTACTATTGCTTCCTTAAGTCGAGTATACACATTGGTCTTAATTTCTTTTCCGTTAAAAGGAACACATGCTTGAAATATGAAATCCTTGATTCAATTTCGTTACTTATGTGTGTACATTTTGCGAACGCTCTCTTTTCAAGGATATTTGATCTAAAAAGTAGAAATATTAAATGAATTGCAACATTACCATTTTTTATTCTTATAATTATTTATTTCTGATAAAAAATTTCTTCAAATACAATATTATGTATATGTATGTATGTAATAACGAATATGTTTGTTATGAAAAATTCAATTCGTTTTTTTTTTAATTTTATTTTATAAAAACTTACAAAATTATTTTTAATAACATAATTTCTTTTCTAAAATATTATCATTAAATTCAACAGAAGTTCCAAAAAAAAATTTGTATTTATTCGCTATCATCAGAATTGTGGCATGCATGATGTGTGTGTGTGTGAGGTTTACTCAAAAAATTTTAATATTTTAATAAAATTATTTTAAATTAATTAGCCAAAAAGTTGCACTGCTAATTTGCCAATAAGCATTTACAATATGTAATCCAAATTAAATAATAATATTAAGTAATTCATAATTAATATTTCAAAATTTATTTTAGCTGCCAATGAAAAAAAATAAACAAAAACGTCGATAAAATTAAATATGATTTGTAAAAAATTATTTATTGCATCTTGCTCTCATACTTAATAAATTTCATACGTGAGATGTTCATACGTTTAACCTCATGTTCGTCAGGAAGGGTGAATACTCATAAATTCTGAAGCATCACAAAGAAATCTTTGTAAAGCTTCTTGTGCAAATCATTTATGTGTTAATTTTCTTTAATAAATTTGTGATAATTATAAGTTATTAAAGACCCTTCCTGTATTCCGTTATATGCAAAATGTGTAAAATGTTTTCTCTAAAAATTTCAATTCTGTAAACTTGAACTAAATTGTATAGAAATGATTTTCAGGTAAACTTTTTATACATTTTGAATCTCACTCAATCTTTTTAACAAGTTTGTGAACAAATAATCTGACCAGTACGTGCACAAATGAATTGTGAATTTTGTAATTTTGTAAAAAAGTAATTAAATTTTTATAACAATGTTTATTTTTAGTTAAAGAATTAATAAAAAAAAAAAACGCAAAATAAAAAGCTTAACAATTATTTTGTATAATACCACTTATATTCTAAAATGATTTTTAATTGCAGATTTATATCTATTAATTTTAAAATTATATTATATTTTATATAATAATATTTAATATGCATATATATGTATGTATATATAATATAACATGTATATTAACATTTATGTATGTATGTACGTGCATACTTTTAAAATTACAAAGGCACTTTAAGTTTAAGGCACAAGTAATAAAATTTATTTGATTTTCACTAATATGTATGTATGTAAAAATATGTAAATTAGAGTATTTATATTATATACTAATATAATGATATTAAATTTTCCTGTAAATGATTCTAATATTAAATTTGAAAGTAAATAAAATCTAAGTATATGAAATATGGACTTGATTAACTAGAAATTTTTTCTATGCTATTAACCTAGTTAGTTCCCATCTCAGTTTTATAAAAATACAATCATAATTTTGAAAAAAATTATCCTATTGAAATTTTTTTTTAATTTAAACTATTTGGTGTTAAAAACCAAAAAAAAAAAAATAATAATCGCAGTTGGTTATCAGCGTTTTTTTTTTGTATTAAGATGAAAACAATTGGGGATATTACATAAATTTCTGTAAGATAATTAAAATATTTAACCCCTAAATCCTAAATTTATAAATATATGAATTACATAAGTCATTTATAAATATGTAGGAAGAAATGTTACGTCATTCTTAATTAATTTCTAAGAATTTAAAATTCTTTGTGAGTAACTTCAGTGTAATTGCTTTCTTACAAATTGTAACGATATAACAATTATTATTATTGCAAAAATAATTTTTTAAACATTATTAGTTCATAAAATTATCAAAACTCGATATATGTACTATGTGATTTTTTAAAAGGAATTTAAAGGAAAATATATGAAATTCGGCTCCTTATAGCTTCATCGAGAACTTGATTAATTAGCAACAGTTATGAATCACTTAGTTTCTCTTATATTCAGTTTATTTTAAATAATTGTAATTATTTTCAAATTCAATAAGATTCTTTTCTTTCTTTTTTACAAGGAATTATGATTTATACTTATTCTAAAATTGAATTTTAATTAAAATAATAGAATTGTAAATGTGCGAATGAAATAACTAAAATAACTTCTCATATCATTTCAAAGAGTGTGTAAATCTTATACGTAAATCTAACAAAAAAAAAATGTAATAATTATATTAAAAGGATTGATCCAGAACCTTAAAAATGTTAGTATTTAATTATAAGATCATTTTTTTTTTTTAATTATTATTATCATTATATTAAATGAAGTTATTTGTAAATATGTGTATATTGTGTAATGTTTTATTAAAAAATCTTTACAGGCATTTGATTAACTTTCGTATAAGAGCATAACTTTTATTTTAAACGACACGGTACAATTTTAATACTAATAAGATTTTATTGCTGCTCTAATTGATGCACTTTTAATTTTAATGATATGTTTGAACACAAAAATTTTATGTATAAATTACATTTATATGTATATAATATTATATGCATATAATTATTTAATTTTTATGCATATATTCTTACGTGTATATGATATACATTTTCGTTTCTTGGTTCTCATGGTTATTGTTTTTTTAACTACTTAAAGTCTAATGAAAATTTTAATAAAAGTAATAGTTTTTTTTTTGTTTTATAAAAATTATGAATTTTTTTTTTTACTAATGTCACATAAATTTTATACGTGAAACATATAAGACATATAAAATTTATTTTCTAAAAATGGAACTAAATTTTGAGCAAACTGCCCCATTTTATTTTTATTCAGAGCAAAGAGTCGGCATTTCCAGCTTTGATTTTTAAATGCTTTTTTTTTTTAATTTTCAACTAATTTATATTTTTGTAATGTATCTTTTTTATAAAGACAATCGCGTATACTAATAACAGAAAAGTAATTACACTAAAAATGAATAAAATTAATAGTTTTGATTTTTGTTACTTTGAAATTTGTACAATATTTTTTTTTTTTTATTTTATATACGTAACAAATACTTTTTGAAATGATAATATAATTTTACATATATAATAAAATTTTTGCATTTTATTTAGTTTCTTCAAATCTTTCATAACGATCCTAAAATTTATTACTAAAATATTGTGCAGCACACAATTTTCTATTGTTATGTTATATACATATAACAATGAAATTATATTCTGTACAATATTAAAATAAAATTTTTTATTTTATATAACCAACAAAATTATTTTGCTTCCACCGCAAAATATTGAGTTATGAGCAAGGCACTTTATTGTTAGGTATTTTAAATTTTCTATTAAACATTTTTTTTTTGGAAATGCTTAAATGATTAAATTGCTAAGTAATTATTAAAAAATATATATCTATTAGTATATTATAGTAAGAAAAAGAAAAATATCGAAACGCGAAACAATATTTTTAAATTTATATAAGTTATTTCGTACTTCAAAAAAATATCCGTAGGGCATCATATATGTTAATTTGAATTATTTGAATATATTTATATGTCATATATTTAATTTATTTTAACTGAATATATGCCATATTACATATATTCAATAAAAAAGTTTTATAAAAAAAATGTTAGTGAACTTTTCCTTAAAGTATAAGTTTTCGTTTATATAAAATTTGTTAATTTGTATTATGTAAATAATATTTAGACTTTTTTTACTCTCAAAACATTATTATGCAATAAGAATCTAAGGCTTTAATAACATAAATTAAGAAAATGTTCTTTCAGGCTCGTTAAATTTTGAAAAGTATTCTGATGTCCATCGTTTTCAATATGAACTTATATTGTTCTTTTTTCTAGATTACTGAATTCAAATCTTATACCATTCCAAATTATCACCTTTTGGAGAATTTGTGGTATTCATCAAACCCTGAACATCGGTTAACATATCGCTAATGTTATTCAAATTGTTTCCAAGCTATAATAAATAAATTTTTTATAATAATAAACCACAAAGAAAATTAAGAAAATTTACTTGAAGAGATGAAACCAAATTGTCTGCTCCATCTAAGCCCGTAAGTGAGTCTAAATTTCCATTATCTTAATAATAAATCATTAAAAAATTTCTACTTCTTTCTTTTTCAATTGTTACAATATTTAGGAAATAACTTACCATTAAGACAATCCATACTATCGTCTATATTTTGCAAAAAATCAGAATTTAATGAAAAGTTATTGGACGTTAAACTCAGACCACTGTCTGCTGATTCTTGTCTAGTGTGATCTGTGATTGCTGATAGAAATGGATCCATTTGAAGTCCCATTGTTTGTTGGTTTTGACGAGTCAAAAGATCCTAAAACTCGAACTGTTATGCACATATAATATTTAAAAAAAGAATTATATACCTGATGTTGTATTTCTTGTTGCCTTTGTTTGAGATATTCCCGTTCCTTTTCCAAATTTCTTATATTTACCCAATTGTTAGCTAAGCTGTTCGTATCTGTTCTGCATATAGAATTCGCTCTTTGTCCGAGAAATTCGGCTAAAAAATAGATATTGAATATTTTGTTATATAATTTATATATTGGCATTTTTTTTAAAGAAAAGATCTTAATCTCTATATTGGGTAGACGCATTGATAAGCAAGCATAGTACTTAAGTATTATTACTTATTTAAAGTTATTTACTACGTTTTTGTGTAAGAATATAAGCAAGCTAAAAGGTTTTATTTTTATTCAAAATTTAATACCGAAAAAATTTTGAGTTGCAATTTATTATTTAAAAACAAAACTCAATTTAAAATACAAAGCTAGTATAAAAGGAAAATTTTGTATATGCGAGGTTTTTTTTTCATGCAATCAAAAATTTAGTTATTCACAATCTAAGTTCTTTTTATTCATATTCGAACATACTTATCCTTGGATCGAACCAAGAAGTCGTGCGATTATTATGATTTATAAAATAAGTTTCTCCAGAATAAGTAACAGCCTTTTCCCAACCTGGAGGAAGTGGACCTAGATCGGTGTCTGAAGACTCTTTAGCTCCAACACCTGCAAAGCATACAACATAATAACTTAATTTTATAGCTAAGCTTTATATTTTCAGATATATCAAAACGTGATTAAAATTATATTCAATACATACATACATTTATTTCAAATCAGAATAAACTAAATTAACAGAATATTGTATACACAATTTTATACAAATTTATGTTACGGTATAATATAGCATTATTAAGCTGAACATCATTGGACGTAGATCTGTATACAGCGTGCATATTGGTTCATATCACTGAAATCTAACATGAAAGCAGGGATTCTTGAAAGATATCTGAATATAATTTAAAAATTGAAAATTACTTGCCAGAAACTTTCAAAACAAAGTAACGTTTCAAATATTACATTGCATTTCTTAGAAAAACGAAGCGAACAAATACAATAAAACCAGCATGATAATTTAAAGTAGTTTCTAAAAAACTAAACTAAATATTGTGAATACTTTTGTTTAAAATTGTTTTAACTATCAGACCAAGTGTTTAAATTTTTTTAAATTTCAAAAATTTGATTCATAATTGGCTTTCTAAACTTTATTTTTGAGATTAAGTTCCCTTTAAAATTAGTAAAATGTTCATAAAAGAAAACTACTTACTTGATTGAGAAATTTGAGCAAGTGCAGGTTGATGAATTTTTTGAGTTCTGGGGTCTTCCCATTGAGTTGTTTTTGTGTTGTGGCTAAAAATATAATTAGAATAAAATTTTTATACAATGTACTCAAATACTAAATAATTTTAAAAAAAATTTAATTCGTATCTGAAATAGCTCTCATATGCAAAAACTTTTAATTAATTTAAAATTTTTAAGTTAATTCTAAAAAAAAACTTACTTAAGATAATATATTTGTCCTTCAGGCGTTCTTGCTTGTTCCCAACCTTCCGGAAGGTCACCTAATTCATTTTGTAGCTGTATAACACTGACTACATCATATGATCTTTGCTTTGAATGAACTGGAATATTTATTTGTTGCTGCAAATTTTCAGAATTTGTTGTAACTGCACTTTGAGTTGAAGCATTTGCTGGTACTGTGTTTGAAGTTACCGTATTTACGTTTTTATTATTAGTATTATTTAATCCTGCAAAGGTTTGTTGTAATGAAGCTGGACTACTGTGTGCTCTCGAATGACTAATCACTAATCCCTGACGTGTGACGTTTTGCATTGGTGTAAGAGGAGGATGTGGTGGATTATTGTTTTGGGATCCTGTGCTAAATGCGGAATCTGTACTGTTTGCGCGAGAATGAGATACTGATGGGGTTTTTGAGCCAGAAGGAGGATTAAAGAAAGAATTAGGCAAATTCCTCATTCGTAAAGGTTTTTGTAAGGGAATTTTTGAATTTTCTGGTTTTAAAACTGTATCAAATAAAGCTTGTAAGTTGTCATCTGAATCTTGATCAATACGAACAACCAAATTTCCAGTCTTCGTTGAATCTGTGTCTGAATTTATTCCACCAGATACTAAATTACTACTCATATTATTAACTGTAGACTTACTATTCAAAGCCATGATGAAGTATTTCAATTATATATATAGTGTATATTAATTAATAATTTCTTAAGGCACTTATAATACTTCGTCTTTTTTTATTTCTTGTTTTAGTTGTGTATGAAACGTTTTAGATTTAGAACTGTGCCTACCAGAATAAAATCATGGAATCCAATTACATACATATGCACATATTTAGCCCGTTTTGTACCTGTTGCGTAGATAAAAAATTTTATAGGCAAACCTTTTTATTACTTAATTAACTTTAAATTCCTCATTATTACAAACCGTAATTTAAAATATATAATTTAAATTTTTAACATATTATTATTGTATTGGTAAAAATTAAAAATAGTTTTGTCTACGTAGATTACTAAAATTTATAAATAGTAACAAATTATTGGTAGTATTGGCACTTTTATCTCTATTTATATTTATATTGTTATTATTAATTTCAATTCATATTAAGTGTATTACATTAATAACATTATAACTTCGAAACTGAAAAATTTAGCTTTAAACAAAAGAAAAATTGTATTAATATTAAAATATATATGTAAAATCTCCTCCCCAATTCAACAACTTCTTTTCTTGTTCTCGAATCTCGACTTTTTCACTTCACTTTTGTTCGGTTGGTATTTCCCAATGCCATAAGTTTATGTTTACAGGTATGGTTGGATTCACATTTACGCTGCTTTTTGGCATTTAGCTTTTATGCTAAATGCATTCTATAAATTGCCAGATTGATTAATTAAAAGCGACATTACAATAAAACAAGTATATTAATGGAATTAATTGGGTGTTTTGTAAGTCGAAAGTAATTTGAAAATTTAAAAACAGAACAAAAAATATTAAAGTGTATAAGTATACGGCGCATTATGTAAAATGTATATTTTATGTATAAAATATAATAATTAATTATATTACATAAAATATTAATATTTTCCGAGCATATGACAGTTGTTGAAGTTTGACGGCTTCTTTTTGACAGCTTTAATTTTATTTATGCGTACACATACTGAAGAAACCTTAAACAGCGTTGAATAGCTTAGTTTCAACCAAATTTTGAAATATATGTATATACCAAATTGTGTATGGATGTATGTATATATTTTAGTACAACGGTTTTAACATTTGTGATAGTATAAAAGTTGAAACTGTTATGCATATTTTTCTAAAAAATGGATATTGCTCTTGTTGATGAACAAACATTTAAATATTTCGTTGTGAGATTTGTAGAAAATAGAAATCTAATGCTTACAGGCTATGGATAATAACACGAAATGAGAAAACCTTGCCCTAAATCTAGTCCTATTTCTGACTCTGTAGGGTTGCTTCAAAACGCAATCTGCAAATTGGGCAATTCAACAACGCAACGCTACGGTACAAACATTGCACCCAGTGAGAAGAAAAGCAGTTTTTAGCATTAGAACAATACAAGTTGGTTTATATTAACACCTAAATTTATTATCTAAAGAAATCTATATTTATTATTTTATATTTACATGCATATATTAATAATTAAGTTTATATTAAAACTGAAAATCATGTTACAGTTACAAATGAATATTTTTATTTAAAACATTAAATTTTCATTTAAAATGTTAAACAACTTTTGTAATAAAGTTTAATATATAAGGAATAAAATTAAGTTTGATCTTCATCACTATCATTGTCGTCGTTATAATCTCTTAAATTTGTTGAGCATTGGGAAATTGACAATTTTTTTGAATTTGATGGAAATAAACAATTTGGCCCTGCCGAAGAATTTGGGAATCTCGTTAAATATCTCTCCAGCCGTAAAAATTTAATTGAAACCAAACGTTTATCAAACCACCACCCGTTAATTTCATCATGAACTTTTCCAGCATCTTGCTCACTCGCACAACGAACGTATACACAACAGCTTTGTTTATCAATTTGTATATCATATATTTTACAAGTTAATCCAACTTTTTCTAATATCGAATCATGAATCACTTGTATTAAATTTGGGTCATTTATTTCGGATTTATCGAACATTTGCCTAATTTTCAAGCATGGCGTTGGAGGGTTTCGTATTTTGTTAGTTTTATCAATAAATGCCGGGCTCTCCCATTTTTTGACAATGTAAGAGTTTCTATTTTCAGAAAAAGATGTGTTGCAATCCGGGGAAACAGTATCAACCCATTTAATCATTTGACAATTTTCGCCATTAATGACATTCATTTCAAACAATATGCGGCTTTCGTTTTGTTCTAAGTAGGTAATAGCTTGATTCCATGCCCATTCTAATTCTTTGCGCTTGTGAACTGGTATTAACATATCCCGCAAGTGATTAACCACAACAGATTTTTCATTCGGTGTTCGTTCAGCTTTCGTTATTAAGTTGTTTATAATTTCTTCAACCAGATGGAAAACAGTTTGTTGTTTATTTTGTCGATAATTTGTAATAATTTTATATACGGTATAAAGTGCCGCAATTACAAAACACCCTAAAGCTAAAGATCCAATTAAAAAGAAAAATCTCTGTAATTTTTTATAAATTGTACAAAATAATGGTAAAGATGGATTCAAAATGGCATAATAATTTTCTTTGGCCCCACGAAGTTTTATCACTTGATCATATGATAATATTTCGCCAACTTCATTCACGTGGCTTATATGCCATTGTGGGTTATTAGCTATTAAATATTCAGCGTTATGTAGATTATAAGTAATTTTTCTAATATCAGTTGAGCGACCGTTTTTCAAAAATTTATCGTACATCAAATTCGCGGCAGATCTTGAATTTAAAGAAAATGATTTCGTTTCATCTTTACAGTGATGTATGTCAGCTTTTTCTTGTAATATTGGAATTATAAATTTTATCACTTCTAAAGCATCAGTCACTTGACTTTTGTATATGCAGGTAATAGAATTTTGTTGTAAATTATTCGAATCTTTAAAATGTGTAATAGGTGATTGACTTATTTCAGATGTTTTACAAAAATTTAATTTAAGATTTTTTTCTGTTACTGTGCTTATCAAATTAGGTGTGATATTTATATACAAAAATGACAAAAATATAAAAAATATAACAGTTACACTGACAAGTGTACATGGTATAAAGTGTTGTTGTACTCCGTAATGTTCATTTAAACTTGTTATAACATTTTTAAATGCAATACTTGGTGACAAATTGTCATATACATTATCCCCAGTATTTCTTTTCTCTTTTGAGAATGATTTTCTGTATCCTGCAGCAATTGATGTTGGATTGTGGTTTACATAGAAATTATTTTGTTCTGTTGGAGTTAAAACTTTAGGTTGAATTTTATTACTGGCTAGAGTTTCATTTCGTAGATTTAGAAGCCTTCTTGTAAAATTACTGCGATATGACGATTTATCATTGTCGCTGTGTACGTTTATGCTGTTATTCCTGTTTTGATGTGGTAAAGAAATATAATCTGCGTCTGAATCCGAAGCATCATAGGCGTCATTATTATTATACACGTCTGTTTCTTCTGTATTTCGGTCTTGATAAGTTATTGTGGGTGAAATATACACGCGGGATGTTGGTGAAATTTTATATTTATCATATGATAGTGCACTGTTGTTGTTAATTGATAAGGCATTGTTTGTTGTGAGACTAGAGGTATTTGATGACCAAAATCGGGAATTTAAATAAGTAGAGTTATGCACATTTTTAGAAGTTTGTGGTCCTAGAAAATTTGATAAACCACTTGCGTTATAATTATTATTATATGTTTTCCTTTTATAAGCTTCTGGCTGCGATCGATTTTCAAAGTCTGATTCCTCATCCGAAGAAAACCGTGTAACGTTTGCAATTTGTTTTTTAAGCTGCACCCTCTTGTTTTTTAGATGGTTTTGCAGTCTTTTTATCAGTATCTTCCTTGTTGTATCTGTTATAGGTGTATTCGGAAAACCACATTTTAAAAGGTACTGCCTTAGTTCGTTATTACTCAAACTTTCTAAGTCCTCCATTATTTTCTCTAAAAAAAATTAAAAATAACCATTTTTATTTGCAAATTTAAAAAATATATAGATATATATGAAAAAAATGGTGCGGTTAATGGACACAAAAACTGAGTGGGACATATTTTATATTGTAAAACTTGGTTTGAGCGAAAACTTGATACTCTTAATCGTAATCTATACATGAAACATTTAGAACCTCCAACATTTAGAGTTTTGCTGATTTTTATTAAAAGTAAGTGGATAACTTGAACAGATGTGTATTTTATTTACAATTTTTGTATAAGGCTGCTTATTGAAATATTTTTGCTTCGGTAATGATTTTCTATATAATAATTTATCTAATAATATATCAGTATACACATGAGTATACCTAATCATACGTACATATATACAAAGAATACCTATTCTTAATCACATGAAACGCCGCACTTTTTTCAATGCTTTATTTAATAATTAAAATAATTTGTAAATATAAATTTGCACGTTGTGTATGGAATCTAAATAAAAAATAAGTCCACAATTAATGCAGCATTTTTTAAATAAACAATTTTGTTTATAAAAATACTTTTTCCATAACAAACTAAATTTAGAAACTCACATTTGGCGTTTGAAAGTTAGTGTTGCCATATTGACAACTGTAAAATTATTATTTTTTATATATACACATAAAATATTTTACCGAAAAAGCAAAATTGCTTTTAATAGCAGTGTTACCATGACGCTATTGCATCAATGGTTGACACATGTTTCATATCGCTTTCCGAACTAGGAATCTATTAAATTAATAGGATGGCAATAGAGTTTAACTTTTCTTTCTTCTTTAATTTGATTTGCTATCCATCAATTCTCTGTAAAAAAATTTATACATATAGATTTCAAGTCAAGTACTTAACTTGTCATATAAACAAGTTAGTATTCAGGTAACTCATGTTGACGATCTGTTATTCTAGTAAGGTTAGAGAAAATTTTTAATAGTACTACTAAAAGAGATTTCTTTAAAGAACACTAGATTCTTTTGCGATGATTTTAGCTGATAAATTTTAACTTAATAAAAAATAATAAGTTTTCTCTCGCTAACCTGTTTTTTTTCACCAAAAATATAAATTAATTTTTTGACAAGTCGTTTTATTTTTGACACATTCATATTCTAACTTATTTTAAAACTTACTTCGACCATCATTAATTATTAAAATTCAACTGAGTTAATTTTGACCTTGTGACTGATCTATTGTGAGATTTGAACGAAGTTAGAAAATGAAATAAAATTATTCTTTTTCCAAGAAAATTTTTAAGCAAACAAGCGTTTGGTTAGCACAAAACAATTAATTGTCTAATTCATCACAAAAATACAAAAAATATTTGTCACTTCATTATAAAATTATAAAATTTTTAGGTGGAAAAAAATTCTTTTGCTGTTCAACTATTAAAAATCTAAAAATTGGAGCTTAATTGATTTTAATTTTTGGCCGAAAAATATTTTTTTAGACTACCAATCATTTTCATATAATTCGTACGCACGTCTATTATGAAAACAAAGATCAATTTAGTTTAAGTAAAACGAAGTGTAAAAAAAAAATAAATTGGTAAAAGTATTCTAAAAGAATATAAAAGCTAAAACAAAGCAGTTTTTTAATTTTAGGCATAAAGCATATGTAATGTACTAATATGAACAACTGTGAGTCGTAGTTTTAGAATTTACATATTGAATGTGGCAGTGTGCTCTTTTGTGTTCTATTCTCTAATCGTTGATAGCGTTAGAATGGTTGTTTTTTTTTGTTTTGTTAATGTCATCACTAAGTAATCGTTTGAAATAAAACAGTTTATTCAAATTAAAGTAGAATTATCCTTGAAATTCAATAAAAAAATGAATGTCTTGAATTTAATTAATGAACTACCGAAACTACTTCGGGATTCACATTCTGACCAAAAATATATTTTCCTTTTTCGTGAACTTGAAAATGATAAAATAAAGTGCTATTCGTACGCAGCAAGAGCAATATCTGTTGTTTGTCAGGATATAGAGAAAAATCCTAAGTTTGATGAAGTTTCTCTTCAGAGATACACGGATTTTATACTTGAAATTACTAAATATGTTAGCAATAAAAAATATGAAAAATTTATGTTGCAAAATATTAAGTATTTTGTTTATTTCTTGCTTAATGTTGTAAGTTTAAATGAGTTACGAAAATTTGTATGTTGGTAAAAATGCTATATTTCAGGGAGCAGAGGAACAGCTAAAAAATTATTTTAAAAATTTTGTAATTGGTGAAATTTGCTGTGAAGATTCATATAAGTTTTATTTTGAAATTGTTAAAAATTGCCAGTTTTATTTGTTGCAAAAGGATGTCAAGCTTCAATTAAAATTTGATTATTGTCAAGAAATATGTTTTCAGAATTTACAGCGTTGCATGGAAGTGCCAGATGAAGACCAATTTTTGAATTTCTTAACTGAATTACTTAATCATGAAAGTTCTTTTAACACATTATCTAAATGCCAAGATGACGCTAACAACTTAATATTATTTTGTATCTCAAAATTGAAAAACTTTTCGAACATTGTAAATTTAGAGGATTTTTTTATCTTGATTACAAAAATTTTCTTGAATTTTAATAAGTATGAAATTTTATCAGAATCAAAAATTCTTTGGTCTGTGGAGTTGATGAAAAATATTGTGCAGAATAAAACTATTAAAAAAAATTCCTACCATCATTATGCTTTGACTTTAGTACTTTACATCAGCAGTCTGCGTACCAAGGAATTTTCACAATTAAATTTAAAAGATATCCTACGAAAACAACTAAAACTTTTTGAAAATAATCAAAATGCAACATGGTACTATGACATACAATGGACATTTACTGAATTGTTCACAAGGAACTCCAAATTTATTTTAAAAAATATTGAGGAGGAAAATTTAAGGATTTTGATTGAAATATTATATAGAAATATTAAGCCTACTACAATCATTACAAGCTATTCTAAGCAAAACTGTAGCCTTTGCAAAAATTACCAAAGCCATCAAATTTTGAATATGTTCCAAATATTGGTTGAAATTTATGAACATATGGTCCAATTTGAAAATGATAGCGAAAAAGGTATAAGTCTTATACAATATATAATGAGTTCGATCAAAAAAAGTTATATAAACATATCACAATGCAAAAGTATGTATGCGATATTTGCGAAGACGTTATCATATTTTAAGAAATTAATTGCAAAAGTGAAAACTATTAAAATGGCCAAAGTTTCTATTGAGTTCTTGCATGTCATGAATTGTGGAGCATTTATTCAGAATATACAAGATAAAATAATTAACGCAAGGCTTTATTTGCATTTATACACAATCTTAAATGAAAAACTAAAAATTCTGGAATTATATGCAGTAATATTAAATTTATCACCAAAAAACAGCGAAAATATTAATTCGTACATGGTATCTTTTGTAAAACTATTGATCGAGCTAAATATGACAACGGTAACAATAAAAGAAGTCTCGCAAAATTGTCTTGGAAAATTTTTGGACAACGAAAATGTTGATGAAAATTCCTTTAACTTCTTAATAAAAAAACAATTAGTAGTAATTACAACATTTAAATTATTTACAATGGATAAAATTGAAAATTTACTTGAAAAGATAATTGATGAAGATATTTTAACACAATTAGACTTTGTCATAATTGTTAGGAATCTAGAACAATTGATCAAGTCTAAAAAAGTACATGATAAATTGGAAAGCATAAGAATTATTGAAGAAAAAAGTTCAATGAATGATTTACGAAAATATTTAATTTTGGCTCATTTGTATAAATATGATGCTCTTAGGAAATTTGAAAAGTGTAAAAATATTTATTCGTTCAAAATCTCAACCGAAGAAGATCTAACTGAAATAAATATTAAGGATTTTAATAAAATCAATTTGAATAAGGAATGCGAGAATATCGAACCTGCAATATTAAGTTTACGTTATTTCAAAAATATATTTAATATTTTCGATGAAGAATGTCGCAAAACAATTGATATTGACGCTATTTTGGATGATTTATCTTATCTTGCAAGGCATTTTCAATTCCGTGGGTATTTAGACTTAGCTACAGATGCATGGTTTCTTGTATTAAATTTCGCTAAGCATTATAATAATTGTGACTTATATAAAATGAGAGCATTAACATTTTTTTGCAAGTATATTCATTATGATATATTAGAAAAATACGATTTATCTTTAGAAGATGAACTTCATTCTTTATCCGAAAAAGTTTTGGAAAATTATAAAAATTTGGAAACTTTATCTCCACGAAAGCAAAACTATGTTCTCCTATATTTACTGAATGTGGCTTATTATTACGGTCACCAAAATGACATCAAATCGCTGAAGGTTTTAATAAAAATGGTACAAAGTAAATTGAATGAAATTAAAGAAAGAAAGTATAAATTTGAACTAGTTCGAGCACATTTAGTTTCATTAGAATTATATTTTCGAATTAACACTTTAGAAAAATTGGTTGTATCTCCTTTCATTTTTATTAGTCATATTTTAAGAGAACTGAAAGAAGTAGTTTACATTACATCTGAAGATTCTTTAAGTATGTCATGTTTTTTGATAGAATTACTGCAAAATTTAACTTCGTTTTTACTCACAATATTTGAGACGAAAATGATAATGTCTTATTTGATATACGTTCTATCATTTTCATTACAATATGGAATAACCCTAAGAATTACACAATTATTTTTGATTTGGACAAAAATTAGCTTGCAAAATGGGGATGTAAATCCTGCTTTAGTAAGAACAGCAAATAAATTTAAAATTATAAAATTTCCTTTTAAATTTTATTTCATTGCAGCTAAAATTATTAATTTTGGAGAAATTGATATTAGAAAGTGAGGCAGATAATGTCCCAATTGACAAATATTTTAATGAAGCTATTGAAACCACAAAAAATGTTAATGGCTTACGAAGTATGCAAATACTTGTTGGAGAACAAACAGTAGAGGAGACTCGAAAAGCCGTTCAAAAAATTAGTTTATCAGAAAAACCTTTAGTAATAATCTTAATACAAGAAAATAATAATTTATGAACTTTAAAATTACATTTTAGGTTTTCTTTCAAGAATTACAGCACAAAGATTTCTTAAAATACCTAATAAAACATAACAAGTCATGTATGTGTAACATATGTAAATTTCCAGTTTACAAATTTTTTATTTTTGAAATTGGTTCTTCTTACATGAAGTTGAATATATTAGGGAAAAAGGATCGTTTAATGATAAGCTTGTTTTTAGAAAAATCGTTAGAATGGTTTTCTAAAATTGACGATACATGTATTAAAAGAATGTTTGAAGAAACTGTTTTTCATCTATACGTTGACAATATTATGTGGTTCCGTTCAAATGAAAAGTACTCAGAAGCTCTTGACTATTGCGAATTAGCAAGTAAATTTCTAGAACGTATAAGAAATAATCATAACAACAGAATTTGGAAAGTTGTAGAACATTATTGTGCACTCCAATCTAATTCATCAGTCAGCGAGACAAACGTATTAAAGAGTCCGACGGGTAAAAAAAATATACGCTGTAAATCAAGGAAAATTTAAAATTTTCTAAAAAAAAGTTATGAAAGTTCAATTTGCTACATTCATATTTGTATTATTTCCTTAATTGAATTTTCTGTTTAAAATAATATTATATTTCATAAATTAAATAATTTTAAACAAAACTTTCATATATTTTTTTATTCGATATTTGGTATGCAATTATTTAAAAACTTAAGACATCATTAAGCGAGGATTTTCTGTATCACATTTTAATAAAAACAAGAACAGTCTTAATTCTAGTAATATATATACTCAGATTAGTTTTTCTTTGTTATAAAAATTTTATTTTATCACTCAAATTTGTTCTATGATTTGGTTTTTGATTTTGTATTTTTTAGTTTCGGATACTAATATGTATGTATGTATGTATGTTTACAAAAACGAATTTCTTTCAAAAATAAAATTGTAATCGATCATTAAAAAAATTTTAAGGAAGTACATATTATACCTATATAAAATTAACTAACCAATATTTACACAATATTCACAAAAATATTTCAAAATTTTCAGTATGACTTCCGGGATTTTTTGGTCAAATACTTTAATTATTTTTGATTATCCTTAATTTAAGGTTTAAAAACTGCTAAGAACCCTGTTTTAGTAATTCTTTAATAATTATTTTTATACTATTTCTGTATTCGAACCATAGTTTATCCCATTATTTCGATGCTGTTGGGTGTGATCTTGTTCCATTTGTTCCTTTAACATTTCTAATTCTTGAAATTGCGATTTAGTAACTTCATATTTATGTGTTACTAATGATCTATAAAAATGAATTGCAAATGCTAAAAATATAATTAAAACTGGAATAAGTACGATACAAGCTGACCATGCCGCAACTTGACTTAAATCGTAGAATTTAACCCAACAAAGAATGGCTATTTCTAATAAAAAGAGAATAAGTCCAAGTAAAGTTGAAAATGCCCAAGCTGTTTCAATATACCAATGTAATCGTTCGTGTGGAGATTCATAAACTAGTGATATACTATGTAAATTACATACAGTTTCTATGTTTGGCAAAATACAAGTTGATATCATTAGAGCCAACATATGTACAGCTACTAATAATGTTGTACAAACAGCAAATGCAACAAGCATTCCGGTGGGGACCTGCGTGTCATTGTTCAATTGAACTTCAACCATAGCAACCTACAAAGAAAATTTTTTTAATACACTGAATTTGACTTTAGAATTTAAGAAATTATATAGATTATATGTACATATATTGTCTGAGTTATTATATCACATTGGTTCTTAAATTTTGTAAAATTAATTGAGACATGCCGTTTAAATCTTAATATCAAATATTTAATATTTGATATACATAGGTACATATGTATTTAAAAAAAACCGGGTCAAAATTAAAGTCAGAATTATTACAACATTGTTTAAACACTCTTCTAAATTTTTAATAATGTTTTTTCTAAATGCAAATTACTCATTAAATTTTTCAAAGAGATCGATTATATGATTTTAATTTCAATAGCAATTGTTCTTATTTATTTCACATACAAAATTTACAACACAATATGGATATAATTTATGTATATACACATATGTGGTTTAATTTTGCAAATAAAGTTTTTTTTTTTCAACTTTGCTATAGTATAGGCTTTGCATGTGTACCATTTGTATATTTCAAATTACCATATACAGATATAATTAGTCATATTATTTATTTTTCTTTTATGCAAAAAAAAAAGAAATTAATTTTACCATTGCAAATCCGGAAAGCAAGGCTGATGTTTTACTCGATGCCTTTAATTTAGCTCTACTTAGTTGCAATTTACGCCAGGATAAATAGCTTGGTGAATGTAAATCCTCCCCTGATTGTGACATACTACTTCCAGATTTTTTCCACTGCAAACGAAAATCAAAAGGATAAAAAGTTTTTTCTTTATTTAATAATACTGAATTTTTAAATATTGGTTTTGTTTGGGATGTTGTTGATTTAATAGCTGGTATCGGTGTTGCTATAAATTTATAATTTTGGAAGGATGATGTTTTATTTGAATTATAATTTAATGAACAAAAATAATCACAGCACTTATGATTTTGCGATAATATATTGTTTTTACACAATTTTGTATCCACTGAATGTGTTTTATGACCTAAATTTAAACTACTCAAACTTGAATACATTATTCGAACAAAATAAAAACAAAAATATAAATTTTTGAGGTATTTTTTTTTTTTGTTTGCAATTTAGTTTCTCAGAAATTATGTCTCTTTTTTTTTACTTGTTTAAGGAGCGTAAATTTAATTAAACAATATTGTATCTTAAAGTTGTCTACCTATAATAATTTTTATTTTACAATTATATGTAGATTTCATTATATTTGACGAAAATATATATATGTAATGAGAAATAAAACAAATTCAACGAAATAATTTCAAATTAGTAGCCAAGCTAAATCAATTACATATTACACTCTTTCTTTTTCGAGCTTTTCACTTCACTTCTATTTTTCATTGCAAAAACAAAAATGTTTAGAATTTAGAGAGAATTTATTGCAAATTCACTTGTTTACAAATTCTTTTTAAAATTGATGGAATCAAAATAAAGTTTTCTACTCAATTTTGAAATTTCAAGATATTGAATGAAATCGATATGTATAAGCACGTACAGGTGTTTATATATAAAATATATACATATACTTAATAAATAATTAAATGAAAATATATTTACTTAAAATAGGAAAGCTATAAGAGCTTTTTATTAAAAAAAATTGAATATGTTGAATATACATGCTTTGATGTTCTTATTTATAAAATCGGAAAGAAAATTTAAAAATAAAAACAAATTAATTTTACTCCGACATTTTGTTTGATTAAATAACAATAACAAATTAAGTTAATTTTAGATACATTATAAGTTCAGAATATTTTGATTTTTGAGTATATAATTTTTAAAATTGGATACCATTCTCAAAGAGCAAACTAAATTAGTAACATCAATTCTTAACTTCATGATTTAGACATGTTGAATATTTAATATTATGTACATATATATATACGTACATACATTTAATTTCTAAAAATGTCTTATTTTTAGAAAATTTTTGAAACTTTATTATTTTTTTAAACTTACAATAATACCATCAACTGATCGAATAACTTACCTTTTTATTTCCACCTCCAGAGTTATTTAAATTGAGTAAGCTTTGATTGCTTGAAGAAGTATGATTTATGAAATCTTTTAGATTTACTTGACTGTTATCAGCTGTGTAAGGATTAAGTGTACAAAAAGCTGCTGTATCATTTAAATTCAAATTTTGATGTGATTGAACGGGAATATTTGATTTAGATATAGTCCAAACAGACATAATGCACAAAAACTAGATTTCTTGCCATTTTGAAAATTGAAGAAAAGAGAAAAAAAATAAATATTAAAATTTATGCAAAAAATTACTGTAAGTTTATTGAAAATGAAAATAATAAATTTTGCCTAAATAAATATTATTGATATTGTTGAAGAGAATTGACAACTGACAAATCATTGTTTCCAACCTTAAAGAAAGGGGAAAAAACACAAGCGTTCAGAAATCATAAAAAGAGTGATGACCTATAATAGATGTCAAAAACTATAATACTACCATACGTCAAATTCAAAATCATACCAGTTCCCATTTTTGGATTCTCCACGAATACTTTATTGTCAAATTAATTAGATAATTAATAGTGTTTTGTAATTAAAACGTTGTTTTTGTTTAAGTTTGGATTGAAAAAAGAACAGCATTATTAAAGTTTCAAAATTTCGTTTTTATTTAATAACATTCTTTTAAGGTATTTAATTAAATTTTAATTATTTTATTGAAATAATGAAAATTGTCAAAACCGTACGAGCTCTCTAATGGAAAAATCCATTAGAGAAAAGGAGAAATACATTATATTTTAATAACTAACTTAATGGGATTATATTATCACTTGGTATAAAAAATTTATAAGTGGTAATTAAAAAAACGTGGGGAGCGCAAACATTTAGTCCACAAAGTTTGAAGTAAATCAGTAATTGGTTGTTAGTTTTTTAACTAACTCTAGCCCCTTATAGATATGCATGTTCTTTATTACGAGTAAAATTGTGCGAAAATCTATAAGATAAACGTACAATTGAATCGAATCAGTCGGTTTAAAAACTTAAATTTTTTTCGTGTGACATAAAAATTGTAAAATCTGTGAAAAAAGATAATAAAAGTAACGTCAAGTCACCATAACAAATATTTCCTACAAAAATTTATTTTGAGAGTACAATTACTCAAAAATTCTAGTTATCAGCAAAAAAGTCAGTAACAATGTTTTAATCTGAATTTTTGTGGTACGCAAAAAGGTCATCTAAATGCACTCAAAAGTGTAATCTGTTCGTAGGACAGAGTTTATTATTTAATAGATTAAATAATACAAAAATTATTAAAAAAGATTAATAATACAAAAAAGGAAACGTTAAAATTTTCCCTTTGTTTGACTCAATTTTAATGTTTTGTTTTTAAACTCTTCATATTTAATATTTAAGAACCAGTTCTTTGACAATGTTAGTTTATGAATTAAACAAAATGTTTGACAAAGCACTCCCATGTAGCGTTTTGTTGTTGAAATTTTGAAATTAAGACTAATTTTGTTTTATAAAAAGAATTAAAAAATACCTTTTGGTTAAATGTAAAATTATGATAACAAATTACACATAAAATATAAAAATTGGAACAATTAACACTTTTTAGCACTTTCTAGGTTGAATTTTGATTAATTATACATTAAATTTATTATCGATAATATTTAACATTTCATATGAACTATTTGTATATGTTCTGAAATAGGCGACCAATATACATATTATATTAATCCCGGTTACAGTTGCAATTTTTTGTTTTTAAAGAATTTATTCTAAAAATTTTTTATAAATAAAATATTTATTCTCTTAGAGAAACGACCTTTTTTTTTCTCAAAGACACATAATTATGTACACTTTTACTGTGTTTATAATTATTGTAATTTTAATTTTTTATTTACATCTGTACATACGTATGTATATATTTCATAAGTATGTATTTGAAGGTACATATGTATTTTTATGTATATATAATATTTAATTTTATACCGCAAACAAGAAATATTACACTGTTATTCTTTACGTGACATGTCTATCAAGGTGAGGTTCTTTTGCAACTGAAAAGCTTAATTGCCATAGTACGATATGAATTTTCTAGTAATTAAACTTTTTCTACTGTTCGTTTTTTATTTTTTTTTTGAAGATCTTATATTTGAGAATATTATAAATTCAATTTTTAGATTGTAACATCTGTGTGAATAAATAATTTTCTATATATAAATAGAGAATCAAACTTATTTTTCCAGAACATATGTACTCGTATGATTCATTCTAAATATTCAACACAAATTTTAATCTAATAGAAACATTTCAATCTAAAGGAACATAATTTAAATGTACACATATACCCAGGTCCTAGATGTATTTACTCATTAGGTATTGAAATGTAGATCGTCAATAAAATAATAAATTAATTTCATTGATAAAGTTTTGACATTTCATCTAATATAATCCTACTTAATATTTTTTTGTATGAAATTAGTAAAAAATCATTAAAATTTGAAATCTGCCCGCAACCTTTTTAAATTAATAAATTTAACATTGAAATTGTAAGATTCTATAAATTAAAAAAATAAAGATTTCTAACTTTTTCTTATTATTCCAGCATTGATTTTATGAGACGTAACGAAGTTGGAAATTAGACGTAGGGAAATTGAAATTCAGATTTCGGAATACAAACGTATGTAATATTAAGATAATTTGTTTAAAAAAGCCTATAGTTAGCCAGCTCTATTTTATTTATATAGTTTTAAATTTTTTAATATTATTTTAAATATTTGCATTTATCATCTACTGTATATTTATTTGCTTTTAGATAATAATAATTACATATTTATTATGAATGTATGGATGTATAATTTAAAGAAACTATCTTAAAGCAGCCGTTTCGAATACCCTTATTTTACAAGCTTTTTTAAAATTATCCAAAATGGGAAAAATATTTCAGTTATACGAGTATAAGGATGATGACACTTTTACAGATTGTAAAATAACTGCATTAAATTCACGTTTAATTTTGTTAAATGTTTGTTAGAAGGTAAACCGGTCGTTTTAAAATGAAAATTCATTCGAATTTATTAATAATATTATTTAGGTAATAATTATGTTAACTCAAATTTTTTTGAAATTTTTTTTTTTCTGTTAAATACAGAATATCAATTTATTCATAAATATTTATTTAATACGTAGATAAATTGATGTAAACAAATATTTAATGTTAACTTTTTCTTAATATTTTGTATTGAAAGTTATTCGAACGACAAGTCTCTGAGACCGAGTTTTGAATTATAGCTTCGTAGATAGATGATTTCTAAATAAAATTCAATTGAATTTATAATAATAATATTTATCACACCTACAAATATGTATATGTATGTACATACATATATAAAATTAATTAATTGCGGTCACAATTATATTGCATTTAAAATTTAGTTGTTTTTTTACCGATCGTATACAATCAGAGAATTTATGTTGTTCTCTTTTATTCAAAACCGTAATGAATTTGAAATTAGTAATGTTTTAAATGATTCTAATATAAGATCGTTGCCTTTTTTATACCAATGTTAATAATACAAAGGCTAAGGTTAAAAATCAAGACAATTAAATAATGTTTACTTTACTAATTTTAGATAATTTGAAAAAATCAAAAAATTTTACCACCGCGTAGAGAGAAAGGAACTTCCATTTTTTTTTTATGGTTTTGAAATAAAAAAGGTACAAGAGTTTATTTGAAGGAAATAAAATGTTCACTGTTATTTTATGTTTTAAGTTATTTTCATCTTAAAAAAAATTTTATATAAATAAATTTTGAAGTTTTATTTTCATATTAACGAAGAAAAATTGCGAAAAGAGCAAAGTTTTCATTCAAGAAAACATTTTCGTAAAAATATACTTCTTAAAACTCATAAAAATTCAACGGATTCAAATTTAATATTCTCACGCATACAGAACATTGTATTTATATAGTAAAATTGTAATTGGCCAACACTACAGAGAGCAGCGTTCTCTTCCTTATGTAATTACAAAATTGATAAGCAATCTCATTTAAAAAATTATGTATTTGTCATTTTTTTTGTCATTTATGCATGTTAATTCATTCTAAAATTGTGAATGGCTTTTAATTTTTTTTTGAAACTTTTATTTTTAAAATTTTATATTATTGCTCGGAAATTATTTTCATATTACTTTTATTGAAATAAAACAAAGTGTGTAGTAACATAATTTATCATGAAATATAACGGCACTCTTATAACGTAATATTAAAATAATAAATTCATAATAAATATTTTTTTCAATTATTTTATAACCTTAGATTTTATGATCTTATAATTCAATTAATTTTTCAATTAATATTAAAAAAATAAAATTAATTTTTGAAAGTTCGGAATTCAAATTATTTTAATTATTTTAAAAGTTTTTTAAATTATCTATTATACTGTTAATTAAATTAATAATTTAAAAATTTTTTATAATTTTGTTTTCTTTAATTAATAAATCTGTTTATGTATACCTATCTAATACTTACATTTATTTATGTACATTCACAGGTACACAAACATTCAACAAATACCATATTATATATTATATACAAATGCACATACATACATATATATGTACAACATTTGCCCATGAATTGATAATTTTAATTAATAGAATGTTATATTAATTTTATGAGTTAATAATTAAAGCTAAAATTAAATATTTTTCGAACAATGAATCATAAAACCCCAATATAGAAAAATTGAAAATCATACAATTATTTTTATTATGATTTTTTTTTTGTAATTGATGAAGTTTTATGTATTTGACTGGTGTAACTGTAACCAGTAGTACTTAATTATTAAAATTTTATTTTTTTTTTTATATAAAAATTTTAAAATTCATTAGTATTGTTTGAGCAAAAAAAAAATATTTTTATGTTATAATAAACAATTAAAATTAATAATTATCATATTTACTTCACTTTGTTTTATTTTTCGCTTAATCATATTAATATATAATATTTGTATGCATTGCATGTATATGTGTGTATTTATCTATATATGAGATTATAGTAGGTGATCAATTGTCAAAGTCGATCTTATCCATTTTTGAGAAAAATTCGAACTTATTGACTATTTTTGTATATTTACAATACTTAAATACATTTTTTGATAGAAATCAAGGAGAGAAGGTTTATTATGAATTTCAGTTTTAAATTTTATAAAAATCACTTGCTGCATAATCTTATCTTTAATACCGTATTTTAAGAACCACATTTTTTGTTTACGAAATTGTATCTCGTTCGAAAAATCTCTTATACATTTTCTTAGTTAGCCAAAAGTTGGGCATAAAGTTTTGTAACAAACTTTAAGTGCCAAAAGAAAATTTGAATATGAAATATTAGAAAAATTTATTTAAGTTTTTATATGAGTAGTATTTTTTATTTGTTTTTTCCAAAATTTTGAAAAAGTGGATAAAGCTGTTTTTAAAATTATAGGTACCAGCATGAATTTATTATGGATGCCCGTTGCATGTTGCTTTTGTTATTGCGTGTTCTTATTAATTATTTATATAATATGTCTATATGATAATAATCAAAAAAGTTTTTTAATGCATATAATATAATTTTAAATTAAAATATAGAAAATAATATTAAAATTTATTACATTTCAGAGGATTCAATTTTTAAATATTAAGATTTAGCAAAGAAAACTTTCCACAAAGCCAATCGAAAATACAAGTAATCTTCCATATTTGGCAAATACAACAAAACTACAAGTACCAAACTGAATCTCATTTTGCTGGCCATTGCGTTTCATAGCACATGTAGTATTCGAAATAAACTCTACCAAATTAGTAACCCTTCTGAAAACCATATTTATTTCTGCTGATAAAAGACAATGAGAGTAAAAGTAATCAACTGAAATCTTATCAAACAAATTGGGAATATTAGGCAAATTGGGCCTATAATTATCAATCAAACCAGGGGACTAAAATATTTTTTAAATTGGTAATTTCAATTTAATATGTTTAATTTGGCGGTCTTTAACATTTTCATTTTAAGAAACATTCATATACGACACCGTAACTACCATATTATCAGCATTCCGACCGTATTGAACACTTTTTTATACAATTATTCTTAAAATTCATTTTTTGTTTATCTTAATAAATTTTGCTTATTAAAATCTTAAAGCCTGTTATAATCTTGTATGATAAAAGTGATCATTAACTATGTAGACCGCATGTTGAAGTTCGTTTATCGAAAACATAACATATTAAACGATTTTCAAGGCCAATAATAATTCTTATTTAACATTAATTTTAAACCACTATGTATGTAAAATTTTTTGTTCAATATATCAATTAATTAACAAGTATAAACAGTTTTTAATGTTATTTTTAAAATTTAAAGCACATACATATATAATATGTATGCACGAGTATATGTGTGTATTACAAAATTTTATTTTTAAAGAATGACGACAAAAAAGCTTCTCTTATATTTTAGATGATTTTTGTTTTAACCTCTTTTTTCTATACCAGTTTTGTTGACTTGATAATTGAGAGTATAAGGAAAATTATTTAAATTCTTATACTTATACAATATGCACACATATTCACATATGTTTATGAAATTGAAAAGCTTTGAAAATAAAATACATACTTAATTTTAAAATTATAATTGCAGTGTAACATAAGAATAAGTGAATAAAAAATTTAAAGGTGGTGCAGCAATTTAAACATGAAAAACTTTAATTAATGTTTATTATATGTACATAATAAGAGTTAAATTGCATTATATGATATATGTAGATCTAGATGCTCATAGGTGTGTGTTTGAATGCTCATTCATATATATCTATACATATGGTAATTGTAAATCAGTTTACAAAATATAAAATTTGAATTGCACGTATATAAATTTTAAGTGTATTTATTAAGCAAAAATTTTTTACAATTGTAGTGCATTAAATGCTTTTCGTTTTGGGAAACCCCGTGTGCTGCTTTACGTAAGTATATATATAGATAACGAAAATTTATTTTGTAAAAGATTTGGAAAGTCGTGC